ATCATTATGTTGGAACAGTATAAACAATAAAAATGATCAAATATATATATATATATATATATATATAGATAATCTCGATTGACAATTATAACGAAATAGGACCAAAAAAACTTTACAGTAAGTGATTATTAAATCTCACCTTATTTTCAATTAAATAATCTTAATAAAAAAAAATTAATTTCACAATTATATTTTTCTATAAATGAAGTAATTAAACCTCGTGGAAATACAATGTAACAATATATTAATTATTAGAAATTTTTTTATATCAATAGTAAACAAAAATATAAAAAAATTATATTTATAACCTAATATTTATAACATTTTCATCGTTATTTCTACAAAATTTGAATTCCGTGTACCTACTAATGTATTTTGCAATTTTTCAATGTTGCAATCTTACAATTAAGTATTCAAATTGTTATTTTGTTATCCCATAAAATTAAACAGTATATTTTACTATATTATAATTCAGTATTAAAATGTAATTACAAAATTAATATATTGATTAAGTTTTATAAATTATGTGATGTTAAAACCGAATGATTAAATTTTATTATGTTCTTAAGACATAATTATATTAATGCTTATTCGACCAATCAACGTACGAATGAGTTGAATATAATCCTTTTCTTAATTAAAAAATATATTTCTGCTTACGACGAATAAAGAAAATTTTAATACTTTACTAATAAGAGGATGTTATATTATTATGCATATAAATATACGTATATATGTATAAATGTATGGGTATATTAAAAAAATGTACGTCCATGCATCTTTCACTTCGAATTAATACTATTTATTTTTGTATGTTGAAATGTTTTCAACTAAGAAAAAATTTATTTGAAAAATAATTTTTTATACAACGCATAATTTAAATAACACAAATTTTTAACTTAATTCTGATAAATTGAATTTATTAGCTAAATAAAAAGAAAAATGACTAAGCAAATAATTTCATTATCTAATATAATTATTATGGGATTAAAAAATTGAAATATAATTTCTATATCTCATTCACTCTGCATTCGCGCTGATTTTATAAAGCTGTATAGATCCATTTATTGTAATAACTAAATTAAAACAAAGAATCAAATTAGCCAAGACTATTTTCAAACATTAGAAATATATACTCGAATATCTCTTTTTCAGACACTGACGATAGAATCGATTCTCCATATAATCATATTTATGGAAGGTTACCTATCCCAACGAGAGGCATGATACCACCAACACCTCGTGCTATGTTCATCGGCGAGTGGGATTAAAATTTAATAGAAATTTGATTTCTTTCTCCTTTACGTTTCCTTTCAGTTTCACGATTTCTTCTCTACTTCTTTAACGCCTGGCTCTTGCTCTTTATAATTTATACTTATAAAACTTGTATATTGTTAATGTACAACATAAATACTCAAATATTTTTTAAGTGTAGAGGGTTGTACTTTATGTTTGTTTTTTTGTTTTTTTTTTTTTATATATATATATTTTTCGAAATTCATTCTTTTAATTTTATTATTTCCTTTTAATTTCTTTAAAATCTATGCAAGCTATTAAATACTTGATAATGTTTAGAAAATAAGGAGAAAAATTGTAAAATACTAGATGTAAATTGTTAATCGTATTTTTGTAATTCATAATGAATATTTAAAAAAAAAAAAAAAAAAAAAAAAAAAAAAAAAAAAAAAAAAAAAACACAGAAGACTAGTGTGCCATGTTAATGGAGAACAGTGGCAAATGTTGACTCTCTTCTCATTCTTACGTCGACTAAAGAAAAATATTTTATTCGATATACATAGCGAATGCTTTAAGTAAACCAAGTTATTTTTTAATTTAAATTCAGTAAATAAAGAACTTTAATTAAAGAATGCGTGTTTTTTAATTAAGAGAAATATTAATTTGATGATTTGTAAGGTTATTATAAATATAATATTAAATGATATATATTAAAAAAAAAAAAAACTTATAAAAAGTTATATTTGCTAAAAATTCTGGTTAATATATTACAATGATTGACACATATGTATAGTGCAATAAACAGCAGTGAAATTAATTGACACTTCTGTGTATATAAAATATTATTACTGGAAGTCCAAATATATTTTCGTATTAAATTAAGAAGAAACTTATAAATCGTCAATTCCCTCTGTTTTTCAAGTCTTTTACTTTATAAATACGAACGAGCC